TTTACAGGCCCTCTTCCTTCATGCACCGGACTAAAAGCACACTATTAAGGCCGGCAAGAACGCGCGCCACCTTTGGTTCGTATTGCGAGACTGGCGCGGTGACGATCCGGAGGACTACTTGGGCGATTTGGGGGCCTGGGCTGAGAAAAGGATAAAGGAGCTTGGCGTGAATCAAGAGGTCATTGATGAGGTGGAAATCAACCTTAAACTTTGTTAGAAGAGCGACATAAAATTTGATTCAATGCAGCCATCCACCGACGAATAAAGGTCATGACATACTAGGGCGTAGAAAGGTGGTTGATAACAGGGTGACTACCTACCTGGCATGCCTGGGCTTTTCATGACTCAGCAAACAGCATTGGCTTACATAGTCGGGTCATGTTGGGAGGCTTCTGTCTCAGGGATACCACCTAGCCAACTGGTTCCGCCCAGTAGGGTGCTTTTCCCTTGATCAGTATACTTTTTTATCATTGCCTAGTATTTTAATATAATACTTTCGACGAGTTCAAGATCTTTGGCTACCCGCCGGATCCGATATCCGGACCACAGGGTCTTGGATTCATCGGGCTAATCCTCGGCATACATCTTGTGCCGTTGTTTTCAAAACGTATACACAACGTCGACATTGCGTCCCAAATCGGTGGTATGTTCACGGGTGCACTAGGCATTGACCTTGCCCGCCGTCACATGAACCACAAAGCGCGGATACGAGCCGAGAGAATGAAGAGTATGGGGTTGCCAGATCAGGTTGCTCAAACTCAGGTCAAGCCGCTGGCTGCCGCGAACATTACAATAACCCGGCCACCAATTTACAGGGGTAATAAATGGCGCTGCTATTTTGAAGGACGTGTCCATCAACAATATATTTTTCAAGCAGCTAAATGATGTAACCGGGCCCAAAGTATATGGCAGTATGTACCTAGATCGGCTGTTCAAGGACAAAAAATTTCGACTTCTTACTTTTCTACTCTTCAGTCAGCTGAGTCTATAGTAACATAGCCAAGAAAAATTACACAGCCGCAAATGCGTACGTTTATGCTCTTGCCGCACAGCGCCAGCAGCGTAGCCTAGCCGCTACAGCTATAAATATCGGCGCTATCTTCGGTGTAGGTTATATGGAAAGAGCACAAAGCAAAGCTGTAGACCTAACGATTTCCAAAACGTCCCTGATGCACCTGTCCGAAGTTGACTTCCACCAAATCATAGCAGAATCAATCAAATGTGGTGGACCAGGCGCTCTTGGTGGACCAGGGCTATCGACGGGGCTTGTTCCTGGGGCAGCTGACTCGCTCGATGCTTTAATCTGGTGCTCTAATATAAGATTTGCGGCCTTCATAATGCATAAAACCGAATATAGCGGAAGTAACGGCGTAACAGCCGCTAGCCCATCCATCAGGAGCCTACTAGAACAGTGCACAACGGAAGATGATATCCAGGGGGTTATCAAAAGTAAGTAGAATGAATTATACTCAGCCACAACACATCAACTCACCAAAGCCCTAGGTACACTTGCAGCTAAACTTCGCAGAGTCTTGCAATTGAGCACGGCTGATGAAGATCTTATGTCAATACGCAGCAAAGATATTGGCGTAGATTCCCTCATTGCCGCCGACCTGTGTACCTGGCCTCCCAAGTGGTTTGAGGTTAGCGTGCTCGTCTTTAAAATCATGGGCAATGATACGATGGCGAGCTTGGCTGAACATGTTTCAGAAAGTGTACCGGCAGCTCTGGTACAATATGTTAGAAAAGCCAGTTAAGACTTAATTGATAGTTATATCGCGGGTAGAAATAAGAGCAATAGTGTTTACCTTTGGCCGGAGGTTTTCCATATACGAGCCGTAAGCACCTTTCTCGGGTGATGGTCCTCAGCTACCACCTGTATCCTAGCACATCACTCCTCGTACCCTTGGCGTTGATATCCCGCGGCTGGCTTTCACTTTAAATTGAAAACATGTATATGTGTTCTAAACATCATCCCGAGGAGTGCTTCGCGATTTCGAGAGCTATCCCTGGAATAATAAATCAATATAAGGGCAAAGCAGAAAGGTTAATTTACTAGGGCTGTAGCCGAAAGTAAGGTCTTTGTCTCGTACCTTATCTTAAGTAGCTATTCATCTATTGATATGTTGACCTAATGTCTTATCGGTCCATGACCATGGCCCATAGGGGTTGGCAACATCTGGTCAACCGTAACTTTAACCAAAATTCCTAGTGTTGGCTATGGAAACCGTGACCACAGCAGTGGTATGGGCTAAAGACCTAATAGTGACGTTGCGGTAGGTAACCAGCAACACATTTTAACATACGAATGAAAAAATAATACAGTTTTACATTTTTTACAATTTAACAAGTCAACGCTATATCTAGCATAAGGTAGTTTGATGTACGGCTCGGCCAGAAACATTGCGCGTACAACTGAACTATAACTCGGGAATCCGGCCGTTTGATGAAATGGCCTATTAAAGGATCGTGCTAACATTCTTATCCCACCAGGCTTTCCAGTTAACAGTCTTGCCGTTCTTTCTGGCTTCCTCGGCGGCAAAGACCATCGCGTGGCTTCGAATGATCTCCTCCAAACTGCAACCAATGAACTCGCGCTGAGCCTGTTGTGCCTTCCATCCGCCATTCTTCACCTTGTCTACAGCAAGGACAAATTGTCTTGTAAGCCCGTGATCACCTCCACCATGTCCGAGACTCTCCAGCTTGGGCCGGTAAGTCTTCGTCTTGCCCGTTCGGAAATCCTCGACAGTGATTGTCTTCGAATCGGCGTAGATCTCGCCCTCAGTGCCATAGACATGAGTGAATCTCTCGCATTGCTTCTTGGTCTGTGCGATCATGTGGAACATCGCCTGTTTGGCTCCTCGTGCGCCCACTGAGTCCTTGGACGTAGTACTCGAGGAGGGCAGTGGGTCGTCGTCCCATGCTATCGTTACGACTTGTTCGTCACATACATCGTTGTCGGACTCAAACACACAGCGACCAAACCAGTTCTTGCTGTCGATCACCTCCTGCGGTGTCGAACCGTCATAGTCTTCGGCAAGCTTCGGCAACAGCGCGGCTTTCGCCTGCTCAATGTCCCCTCCGAAACTCTCTATGTCTGGGATGACGACACTAATAGGCCAGCTAGTATTGCCAGTCTCGAGCCCCATATGTTCTGGGCCGATGTAGATTTTCTTGCTGGAGTATATGCAGTCAATCTCAGCGGGACAGCTAAAGCAATTCGTTGCATTGCCTGCCGCTCTAGGTTTCCTACTCTTCCTGAAGAACTGCAAGGACCCAGTAGACGAAACAGAAGTAGGTAGATGTGGGGGCCCGTCTGATCCTGATGGAGCAGAGCACATGAGCCATAAGAGAATGTCAATGTCGTGGCAACTTTTGGTAAGTAGAGACGGAGCCGTAGTAGATTCTCTACGCCAGTTGCCGCGGACATAGCTATGCGCAAAATGCCAGTACCCCACGGGCTCTGTATGATTGATGCTAAGTATATCACCAATGGCGTTGTCCTCAAGCAGTAGCTCCCGCAGCGTTATGTTGTGTGGTGAATATCGCAGCACATGCCCTATAGAGAAGACCTTGGTCGTCTGAAGTTGTGCCAATGTGTGGTAGATATTGGTGCAATCCTCAAGAGTTGTAGCAAGCGGTTTCTCACACAGGATATGGAGGCCTAGTGGTGCAAGGGCCATGATCACATCGTGATGCATGTCATCACGCACGCAGATGAATGCCGCATCAATACCTTCAGGAACGCTCTCACCTGCCTTCTGTCGCTCGCGGCGATCCTTTTCCCAAGCGACAAACTCAGTCCAGCCCGTGAAACTTGATCCTTCCGGGGGCGTCTTGCTCCAGATGTACTTCTCTCCAAAATCTCTGCGCCTGAAGTCATCAGGTTCGGCAACTGCGACAACCACGCCATTGCTCGATTGGAGGGAGCATTTGGCATACGTGTGGCCGCGAGATCCTGCGCCAATGACAAGTAGTCGTGGTGGTGCCGAGGAAAAAGGTGGTGGGGATGGTGGCTCGGCATCAGCGACGGCTGGACTCTGCTCTAGAGCAGTACCAGTATAGCTTTCGTGTTGAAGGGCGTGTGGCGCCATTGATGACAGGTATTGCAGAAAGATGAAACTCGTAGATTAAAACTGGCGAGGCACATTAACCTGGGGGCTGATAGCAGTCCGTCACTGCGATTCACTTGAACCTGACTTGGTATATGGGAGGGGTCTACGAACAGTATCTCGTGGCGGGGGGCTTGGGTAAGCCACTCACTTTTAAGTCGTGCTGGTGTGTTTGATACCTCAAGGTCAGTTTCAAGGCAGGGCCATTCACGGCAAGTCCATTCATGGCCCACCTGTTACCAATTTATGATCCTCCATTGGTCGTCCAAAATGGTCAACCGGTCAGAAGGTAGCAGCATGAAAGGCAACCACTCGCTGCTCAATACCTTCCCTTGCGTCTCGCCTAGAAGCACCCCAACAAGTGTTAAATTAGTTGCATTCCTCTAAACTAACCAATCAAGCACTCTCATAAGTCAACAGGTGCAGCATGCACAGAAAGTGAATATGCGCAATGACTATGACCCGTGAGTGAAGGTTATATCGGAGAAAGGCAGTTATGACATGATACAGGTGAGAATTAATGAACCGCAATAATACCAAAATGCATTGTAATACAATATTCTTCTTAATTGGTAATTTCCAGGGCCACATGTTGATAGGGGCTTGGTTAACGGCTAAGTGCATTCATTTGCATAGCATGAAGGGCTGACTGATATCGATGATTTTACAGTGGTTTTGCTCAGCGCTTGGTGCACTGAATCTGTGCAGCAGCTCACAGCTCGCACAACTGGACTTTCGTGATCTATACACAAGTGGTGCACAGACTAAAAGAATAATAACAAATTCGAGACGAAGCCTCCTAGAAGACTATTAGACGCGAACGTGCCACAATTAAAACAGAGAAATAGAGCGTACGAAAAATATCACTATTCACCAAAAAGCTAATATTGGAGGAGTAGGGATTTGAACCCTAGGCCTCTCGCATGCTTGACTACTCGGAGATGCAAAGCGAGCGCTCTACCCCTGAGCTACACCCCCATCTTGATGTCTGTGCGTTGTTAAATAGTATTATAAATCTTCCATCTATCGGATAAAAAGCCCAGTATTGCCGAAGTTGAGATCAGCGCTAGGGAAATCAGTGGGGTCTATGGGGGAAATCCTATGGAGGGGTGGAAGAGTCGCCTTATCAGCCCTGTAGCGATTTTAATACAGACTATTGCTTTCTATAATCGCTTGGTTGACTACGTCAAAGTGCAATATACCATGTAATTCGGCGCATCTCCAAGTTATAATGTTGTAGATGCCTTTTTCTGAGAATGGGTCAGATGTCAAGGTGTCAAAGCTGATAAGTAGAAGATGAGGGCGTTGAACGTCTACAAACGCACTTAAATCAATGATACGAGATCATGCTGTCACGATCAAGAAACTACTACTAGCTTGAATATTCAAAAGGTATATTAAAATCGCTAATGATATTATTACTAATAAGTTCCCGAGACCACCAACAGATTTAATCGGCACGCTTGACACAGAAGGGATTCGGCGTGAAGATGCCGTATGGGTCAGCAGCCTTGCGGATCTGCCGGAGCTTGTCATACTTGGCGCGGTCCTCGTGGTAAGCATTCCAGACGGCGTCGAGGTTCCAGTCGCCCCACGAGCCCCAGAGGACGCGGCGGTCCTGCTTGGAGAAGACGCCCTTGGGCCCGAGGGCCTCCTCGTCGTTGACCTTCTGCCAGTCCTCGGCGCGGACCTTGGTCTCGGGGTCGTGGAAGCAGTCCATGGTGCAGCCGATGCTCGTGTCGCGCCAGCTGTACGCCGTGCCGTTGCCGGCGTTGCGCGTGAACATGGAGTTCTTGCCGCCGAAGCACTGCAGCTGCGCCGAGAGCCAGCACCGGTTGTGCTCCGGGCTCACGATGGCGTCGATGCGCTTCGTCACCCAGTCGGCCCAGCCGTCCTTGGCGAGCGTGCGCGAGTTGGTGCTGTACGTGCGCTTGACGTACGGCTTCTCGAACTCCCGCACGTTTCGGAAGATCCAGTCCCCGGTCAGCTTGGACATCGGCTTCTCCTGTACGTCGCTGTCCCCGAGGATATGGTCCGAGCCCTCCTTGATTCGGTCGAACCACGAGAAATCGCACTTGTCGCCGCTCTCGAAGGGGACCCACTGAGCGTAAACTATGATCGTCCGCGGCCAGGCGATGAGGCCGTTCTTGCCGTACAACTCAGGGTGCTCGCGGGCCATCACTTCGTCGAGTCCGGGCCACAGGTCGAGGAGAGGGAAGGCTGAGCTAAGAACACTAATGCAGAGATCGTAGTTACGGGGGAATTCATCGTTGTCTGACATCTCGACCAAGATATCCACCAGGCGCTTCAGCGTCTTCGTGTCGTAAAAGTATAATGCTTTCATCCCCCTTGATCCATTATAGTCTTCGTCTCGGTGGACTTGAATTGTAAAATGGGTCAGGACGCCCAGGTTGCCAGGGCTGCCGCCTAGGAATGCCCAGAACAGATCGGGATCGCTGCTCTTGGTGAGCTCTTTGAAGTTTCCATCTGTGTCCACGATCTCGAGGGAAAGGACGTGGTCGCCTAAAAGCCCGAAGCTCCGAGCTAGTTGGCCATAGCCTAGAAGTACTCATTAGACAGTTTCATTTGGATAATAATATGCACCATCGATGGATTGATAACTGGAAGAATTGCTGAGGGGCTGGGGTAGTGATCTGAAAAGTCCTTACCTCCGGTCTGAACGTGGCCTCCAAGGTGGACTTCGGTGCACTGCCCATGGGGAACGAACAACTTGTTTGCTGTGAGCCAGGCATTGAATTCGCCCAGGCTCCAGCTAACACTCGTTCGAGCATAAGCTTTGCCGTCCTTACGGAAGATTGTGCGGTCATCGGGGCCCCTAAAGCTGTCCTCCAGATCTAGTTGAATGTTAGGTGCACTTGTTGACGATGCTCCGCTGTACTGATGGCCACCGGTCTTGATTGCAACAGCTACTCCTTTCTCCTTCGCATACTTCAGGGTGAGGACAATGTCTTCCTTGGTCTTCGGTTTCACTATCAGCCCGGGGTTCAGGTCACGCTCAACTCCATACGTGGAAGTCGCATATTGATACTTGTTGTCGTCATAGGCCTCGTTGCCTGGGAGAAACTGCGCACCAGTGATTCCAGCAATTGTGGCCATGGCTGAAGAATTCGGTGTTACTATGTTGGAGATTCCGTTGAAGAGTTGTCTTAGTGTTGATAAAATGCTGCCCATATCGGTTGATGAGATTGCCAATGCTCTGACTAACTATCAACACCTGCGGCCGCCGCAGTATTGTTATATATCCCATCATTTCACCGAGCTCCCTCCCGGTGTGTTATCTTGTGTCACACTCCTCACTCAGCCTTACGTTAGTCGTGGTGCTGACCCGGATGGCCATCAGCTTACATCATAAAGCGTACAATACTACAGTACCGATGGTCATATGAAGCTGACCAGGACTTGTTCCCGTTCGCACTTAGCCGCTTACTTTCTTTTTATTTGTTCTCGAGCAACGCCTCATAACTCAGCTACTACCTACATGTGCACTCTGCTCGGACATTGCCGTCCTATTAGGAATGATATTGCGACCGGTATATGGGCTCCCCGACAACCCCAAAGCGCGGCGGCCGGTTAGGCTAGCAAATCAATGTCATTGCACCCGTATTTGTGGCGCGCTGAAATCCCTGGATGTCTCTGCCACTTAGTAACACTCCAGAGCTGACGTGGGCTGAAGAGCGGTGACCACGTCTAGATTGTGCCACTAGAACAGCGGCCGCTAGATAATAGCCGGCTAACAGCAGGCCGGTCGGAACCTAGTGAGATGGAAATCAGCGCCTCAATGAACTAGTATTGGCGTCATGCGAGACACCAATGTCGATCGAGCTTTTCATTTAGCTTGTCTCAAGTCCATCAATATCCCTAGAAAATCACGAAGTCTTGATAGGTCCCCACCGGCTTCCAATTTTCTGCCGGTTTCCCACTGTTGAATCGTAGCCAGCCAATACGTTCAAACGTCGGATGGCCACTTACTACCTGGTTCCGATCCCTTAACACGAGACCTGCGACCCAACAAAACGTCGATGGGATGTAACCGTACGGCGTAAGATCTCTTTCCTTCCCTAAATCTAGGAAGTACATGTTGTTCAATATACTCCAAAGGTCTTTCTCATCTTTCCAGAACTTGTAATCAGTGAAAAAATCCCCATGATTATCCTTTTCTTTCTCTACTTTCACTGATGGCCAGGCGATCTGGAGGACGAGCCGTTCGTCAAGCGCAGTTGTAACTGTCGAATTAGGTGAGGTGTTTTGTGTAGGGTTTGCGTATTTACAGACGAGACAGCGACGGAATCCTGGATAGGCCTCCTGCATGCCATCAGGCTCTCCGTGTTTCTGAAGTTTGATTTCTGTCAAGTTTCCCCATAGTAACAATCCAACAGCTTTGTGTGTTTCAGTCTGGCTTTCGTCAGTTGCAGCTTCGACGTTTACTGTCCTCTTGACGGCCCATTGAGAGTCGTAGAGTTCCGTAGGAAATTCAAGCGCGCCATCCGCAGCTGAGGTCCAGGACCAAGATGGAGCGTTGCGAGAACGTCCACCTGCAGCATCATACCCGAGATTTGACCAGAGGAGGTCGTCTTTGAGAGCCTCGGTCCAGGAGCCCCAGAGATAGGAGCCGGCACCGCCTTGATCTAGTAGCGCCTTTTCAAACGCTTGTCGCAGACCATCAAGCGCCGGTAGCTTATCGCGCGGGAAGGTGAGGCTTCGCCGGCTATACTGCGACACAAGAGCCCGCCAAAGCGAGAATAATTCTGCTCGGGGGAGTGTAAACAGGTGCGAAAAGTCAAATTTGTTCGGCTCACAGTTTGGAAAGCTGGGCTTCGCGCCGCTCTTATTGAGCTGGCGATAATTGAAGCGAACGGCGCTCGTTGAACACGAACAGGCTACGTCCTCCCGGCATTCCCACCAAATCTCGTTTTCTGCGAAACACAGGAAGCGTCTTGACAAGAGTTCCTCTTGGAATACCCAGCCTCGTGTCATTAATGGCAGAGCCTTACCAATAGGCCAGCCCTCATCCGGGTGGCTCAGGTGCTTACGGAAGAAGACCTCATATTCACCACTTTCACCCTGTATCTTAATGGAATGCGCGTCGCTGAAGGCTATGTCCGACTCCCGGAAGAACCCTCCTTCATCATCGGCGCTGGCGCCCGCTGCCAGCGTGATGTACGCGTTGCCATATATCTGCGCCATATGTGTTACATGATATGCCCAATCTTCTTCATCGTCTTGAATGATGCATAGCGAATCGATCCACAAGTATCGGATGCGAAGAGCGCGGGCGATCTCTACTGCATCTTGAAAGTTCCGAGGCAGTTCGGACACTAAAATGCTTTGGCGATTGCTTTCGAAGTTCGCGTGCTTAGTTATATGTCTAGAGCGGGTTTTACCCCAACAATGACTGAGGCATGCGTAATGTGGTTGGTATGAGGTATCCCTTAGAATGGTCTGGCCCTCAATAAGGCGGATAACGTCTGGCAATTTTGAATCTATGTCCAACAAATAAGGAGGAAACCGGTGGTCCTGATCACTGCAAAGCTTGTGTTCATTCTCGCATGCCCGTAGCCATTGCTGAATCATTCCAAGACTTTCTTTTGTATCAGTACGTTTGGGGATGAGCGACGCGCAGCGTATGTGTTTGAAGCACGGGGCATCGGCAAGAGTGAAGATGTCGACATTGTAAACATGGCCTTTATTGAAGACGTGTAAGTATAAATTTCCTGACGTCCTGTTGAAAGTAATAGACCCGCTCTTCCGGTCGCCATCATTCGGTACTGCGTGCTGCCAGCCTTCCGATAGTATTTGGCATCCTCGGCATCCAGCATCCGAAGATGCATGAAGAGCGTCATAGTCATCGCATATAATCTCAGTTTCAACCTCCGAAGAGGGTAAGATCTCCTCTGTCCAGTCAGGATATAGACAGATAGAACATGACTTGGACTTTGAGGGTTTCATTTTGCTAGTGT